GTGGCCAGGGAGGTGAGGGGTGTGGCCAGGGAGGTGAGGGGCGTGGCCAGGGAGGTGAGGGGCGTGGTCATGGAGGTGAGGGCATGTCCAGGGATATTTTCTGCACTACAGTGTACTGTACACTACCTATGTGTGTGCTACGCGTGTCGGCACGCGGAGAGTGAAGTCATGCGGCCAGATGTCTTGAGGGCTGCTAGTTCTTGCATCGACCTAGAATATATCCGCAGTGGACTTGTCAATTGTTGTTATAACCGCAAGTTTATCTTGCAATATCTTGCGACGAGAGCGCCTGCTGGCTGGCGCTGCTCACGAATGCTGAGCAGTGGCTGAGCGAGCTGTTGTTTTGAGCAGGACGAGAGGCAGGTGCTGGACGTGAGCGCTGAGCAGTGGCTGAGCGAGCTGAGCGCGCCGTCATGCAGCGCAGCAACAATGAGCGCGGTGCTGCAGCGCGCCCTCGTGGGGGCCTCGCGAGGCCACATTTACCCTCAGCTGCACATCCACGGCCTCAAGCTCACCCAGGCACCCGGCGTCATGCACAAGAAAATGGGTGAGTCTTAAGTGGCTTTATGTTATTTGTAATACATGTCTTGCCGTGTTGTGAAGAGTACATGTCTTGCCGTGTTGTGAAGAGTACATGTCTTGCCGTGTTGTGAAGACTGTATGTCTTGTTGTGTTGTGAAGTCATTTGTGCTGATGTAGGCTGGTAGTAGATTATTGTTGACAGAATTTAGTGTTGCGTTCTGCTCGCAGCGTGACCTCACCACCTGTAGTGACCCCCGTGACAGATTACATGTAGTGTTTCGTTCCAGGTTACCTGTATCCCTGTTACATGAAACCTGTATCCCAGTTACAGGTTACCTGTTTTATCCCCTGTCACAGGTTACCTGTACCTCCCCCAGTTGTGCAGGTTACCTGTACCCTCTCCCCCCCGTCACAGGTTACCTGTACCTGAGCGTATGCGCGGGCCACAGCGAGCTCAGCCTCCTGACGACCAACGCGCTGCACAAAGACCTGCAGAGCCGCGACGCCATCGCCCTGCTGGCCGCCATCACCGCCCTGCCCTCCGTGATGAGGGGGGGACTGCCCCCACAGCTGCTGCACGCCCTCTGCAACTGCCTGCATCACCCCATGGTGAGTGGTGTGCTGCCTACATCACGTGACCACCGTGTATTTGCCCTCATTTGAGCCAGCTGATGCAAAATGTTGTTGCTTGCTCCTTGCCGAGGTTCGTGGAGCATAGACGGACGATCAGGGATCATACTAAAAAAACGCGTCCAGTCGTCTCCTGAATGTCTCAAGAGTGAACTCCTCTCCTCTCAGTTCCTTCAGCAACGCGTTGAACAGCCTTGAACACGCCACGGACAGTGGTCCCTCTCGAAGAGTCTGAACTCTGGCTGCTGCGCGGTTGTTTAATACGGGGAACTGCACCGTCTCCCACTCCTTTCGTTGTATTATGTCTCTATTTTGACAGTCTCACTTTCCACGTGTACAATATGATTTTCATCTCCCTTCTCCCAACCACCTGCCAACCTGTACCAGTAGTCCAGCTCCTTCATCCTGCTGATCCTGGACGTGAATATCCGTTAGATTGCCTCCAATTGCCGCACCGCGCCTGTGTTGAATGGCGCCCAAAGCTGACAGCAGTACTCTGGAATGGGGAGCACGGGGTTCAGAAGAGCGTAATCATTGGCTCAGCATGTCTTGTTGAAAATGTCCGCCTGACCCACCATATCGATTGGCACACACCACGTCTCGTGTCCCGCAGAGTCTGGTGAGACGTCGGGCGTGTCAGGTGCTGTACGCGGGCCTCAGCGTGTGGGGGGCGCCTCGCCACGACGTCTCCGCGGCCTCACGACGCCCCAGCTCGCTGGGGGACCGCAGCTCCCCATTGGGCACCGACTGCGGCAGCTGTCATGACTCACAGGGTGAGATCGGATCGACTCTTTAACTATGAATTGATTGATTCATCGAGCGTTGTCTTTAATGTCAGTGAGATATTTGACTGGTTCATCTAGCGTTATCTTTGCTCTATCAATAAAATACCGAAATATATTAATATTCAATGAAATATTTGATTGACTTCCTGCCTTCTGCATTGAGAAAGTTTAACTGCACTGCAATCCAAAATGCTGTTAGATCGCCTATTAGCTTTTCTGGTTTTAATACCAAAGCGAGTATCATCAACCCCCAATTGTGTTGTTCGCCACCTTACTAAATTACGAAGCCACCATGCATGATTTCCTTGACATCACCATCACTCATCACTTGCATCACTCCACGCATCACGTCCTGTTCCTTGACATCACCATCACTCATCACTTGCATCACTCCACGCATCACGTCCTGTTCCTTGACATCACCATCACTCATCACTTGCATCACTCCACGCATCACGTCCTGTTCCTTGACATCACCATCACTCATCACTTGCATCACTCCACGCATCACGTCCTGTTCCTTGACATCACCATCACTCATCACTTGCATCACTCCACGCATCACGTCCTGTTCCTTGACATCACCATCACTCATCACTTGCATCACTCCACGCATCACGTCCTGTTCCTTGACATCNACCATCACAGTGGTGCTGCTGTACCAGGTGATGCTGGTACTAGAGTCGCCATCACAATGCATTATGTTCATTCGTCATTGATGACTTCAACACGAATAAAGTTTCACATTTTTCCATCTGACTCAAGTAAACCAAGTGTCCTTGTTAGCAGAGTCAGCAAACGTCGAACATTTAAGACTAAAATTCCTTCATTCCCAGCAATGTGGCGCGCGGCTGGAGTTCACTCGCAACTCTGTGGCGTGCAGCGCCGCTCATCTCCTGACGGCGGCATTCAACGCCTCGCTGCCTGAGCACTACGACCTTCCCTCCCACCACGGCGCTCCCACACAACACGGGGGAGCGTCGCACGTGCAGGTCAACATGCTCAGAGCTCTCCGGCAGCTCTGCTCAGGACCTCCCTGGGAGAACGTGCCTTCTGCAGTCGTAGCCGCCCTCACCCCCATACTTACTCAGGTGAAAGGTCGAACCGGTATAAGTGTAACGTATAACCTATATATACATGTAACTGATGAAAGTATTCCAACAGCATCACTATAGTATAAAAGGATCGTCAAAGTATAGTGTTAAATGTTGACCTAATAACAGTCAAATCCTCCGTTTCTTACCCCCCTCTACTCTCTGCTCATGACGTACATAGGTACTAAGTTCTTCCAAATTGATCGACCTCGATGAGATCTTTCCGCTAATATTTCTGAAAGCATCTGTCTGCAAAGGTTTTGCACAAAATGTTCGTAATGTACCAAGTTTAAAAAGGAAATTGTTATTATTAAATGCCGTAACAAATTGTTAGAAAATTGTTATTGTTCAATGCCGTAAAAAATCGTTATAAAATTGTTATTGTTAAATGCCGTAACAAATTGTTAGAAAATCAACATTATTAAATGCCGTAACAAATTGTTAGGAATTTGTTATTGTACAATTCCGTAACAAATTGTTAGGAATTAGTTATTGCACAATACCGTAACAACTTGTCAGAAAATTGTACTGAGATTAAGTGTAAATCTATTGTGAGTGCAGGTTTGGGGCGCGGGTGCGCCTGGCGTGTGTATGACGCTGCAGGAAGCCGTGCTGCTGACGCTGCAGTTACCGAGGGCAGCGACGTCCGCAGGGCTGCGCAATACAGCCATCAACACAACACTCGGCTTCCTGAAGAGCCCCAGCAGCAGGCTGCAGCTCGCCGCTGTCACCCTCCTCGCCAACAACTGGCCACTACTCAAGGACTCAGTGACCCCGGCGCTGCTGCATGCGGTGGTGCATAACTTACACACTACCACCAGCTCCATCATCACCAACACCACCCTGCACCTCCTCTACACCATGGCTAACCACCGCAACTACAAGGTATGTGGTGGTGCACAACCTCCACACCACCATCACCGCCCCAACTACGTAGTATGTATGAGATGGTGCACAAACCGCACGCCATCACCACCACGACCACAACTAATAGGTATCTGATCAAAATCTGATCGCTAAATCTGATCTAAATATGATCAACTAATCTGATCGCTATTATCACAGAGATCTAAAGCCCAGTGTTTTAAATTCGGTGGACATCTGGTAACGGTTCGTAATTAGCTTAGATCAGCTTGTAATTCTTTAAGAGGTTAATTGAAACTTGAATCTTCTGAGACACAATTCTGCTATGCTGGTGCGTGGTGAAGCAATTCAGATGCGTGGTGAAGCAATGCAGGTGCATAATAAGGCTATGCTGGTGCGTGGTGAAGCAATTCAGATGCGTGGTGAAGCAATGCAGGTGCATAATAAGGCTATGCTTGTGCGTGGTGACGCTTAATCATGTCCGCAATGCAGAGCGTTGTGGGCACGCTGGTGCAGTACTGTAGCGCCGCGTCGCCGTCGGTGCTGCAGGCGATGCTCAACAAAATATCGAAGATTGTTTCCACTCACGCCGACGATGCCTTGTGGTGCCTGCAGCAGCTGCAGCCTCTATTGCTGCTGCATCCTCATCCTGCCCTGTGCAGCGCCATGTCTTGTCTTGTCTCGCGCGGTAAGTTTCAGAATAACGTTGCACTTGTTTGTTGCTACTCCCTTCTAAGAGTCAGGAAGGCAGGGAGGACCGATTTGAATGAGAGTGAAATGGTTCACGAAGAACAAATTGAAGTTAGAGAAAAGGGTTGGGCAGGACTGAGTTAAGGAAAAGGGTTGGGCAGGACTGAGTTAAGGAAAAGGGTTGGGCAGGACTGAGTTAAGGAAAAGGGTTGGGCAGAACCGAGTTAAGGAAAAGGGTTGGGCAGGACCGAGTTAAGGAAAAGGGTCGGGCAGGACCGAGTCATTACTCCACTACGTGGCTTGTACACAGGTAAAATTTAACCGACAGTATTAGCCGCACATATTTTCTTCTTCCAGTTATAGTACCAACTTGAAGCTTATGCGCGAGGAAAGTATCAGCTACACAGTATTTTGTCATCTACAAGCGCCAGTGCGTCATTATAAGCTATCGAGTGAAGTCTGCGCTCGGTAGAAGAATATGGAACGAAACTGTAATATTGAATTTCAAACGGTTTTTAATGGAGCCGTTTGTGAAATTGTTGCTGAGGAGATGAAAAACGTCGTTGATCTACGTAGAGTGTGGGTAACAGACTAGGTAGGACGGAGTGATAACTTGGATCATCATTGAATTCGTTCCGTGAACTCACGGAGCGACAGAAATTCGTTACATGAACACAACAGCTCTTTCAGCCAACTATTGTGGCTTTCCGGCTCAAACTCATTCGATTAAAAGCGCCCATTATTTGTTACTTTCCACTGAATAAGATATCAACCCAATATTCGAAACTGAAAGTATTTGCCGCTAATATTTTCGACTAAAATTATCCTGTGTACAAGCACCTTCAGAGAGGAGCCCCTCAGGGGGGACTTCTGACGCGTGTCTGTGCGCGTCAGAAGTCCTATGGGATTTCGCGTTCCTAGGGGGATTGTTCCTGAGCGCCCCACCGTTGAGCTCGCGGTGTCTGACTGTAGGTCTCAGTTGTGGGGTTAAGTTGTTATGCAGGTAGGATTCCTTACATTTCCCTTCTCTGTCTCTCTCGTGCGGGCGGCCGACGTCCCGTGTAAGCGACCTCTTGTTCGAGTGTCTTCGCTTCTGACTTTCGAGCCAGCTTCAGCGGGCTGGACATCTGAGACCTTCCGCCCCTTGTGGGTGATGAATAATTGAGACCTTCCACCTCTATGGTGATGTTTATCTTGACTTTCGGTGCGAGATAGCTAAATAGCTGAAGCGCTAGTAAACATTTGGCCACTAAACTAACTAACTAACTTCAGAGAGGAGGTACCTACATTGCACGGGCACGCTCCGCCTAGTGCCGGCGGTGCTCCGTGAAACAATTCATCGAGCTCGCAGTTAGTGATGCGATGCTGAGCTATGAATTTACTACCTACACTCGTGCAGATATTCGGGACGGACGCGGCGAGCTCGTTGCCCCGGCCCTGCAGCTGCTCGGCTCGGTGCTTGAGAAAAACCCGGCGCCGCGCCCCCACGCCATCATGGCCGCCTCTGTTCTCGCGCCCCTCAACTCCGCGCGAGCTCCTACTGCTGGGGGCCAGGATGCTGGTGCGCTTCTTACCGATGAATATGGGCTCGTGGTGCCTGATGTTGTGTGCGCCCCCTTCATGAGTGACGACGAGAGAACTTTACTCGACATTGTCAATGAAAAGTTCATCAATAATGTTGTGTTAAGTGAGAAATACTGTGACGGTGATCAAATTTTTTTCGAGTGTTTACAGAAAATTGGTTTATTTAGTGAAGGCTTTGAAGAAAGGACTGTGGGCATTGCCCTGTCATTCATCAATTCGCCTGACGTAGTTTGGCGTAGTCAGGCTAGGGAAGCATTGGCGTGGATCCGGAACAAGAAGTTGGCATGTAGAGTTCTGGAAGCTGAGCGCCAAGTGCGCAAGAACCTCGAAGATTTTGATTGGACATTGCCGTATCTAGAGGAATACATAGTCGAGTCGCTCGAGAAAAAGAACGAGATGCCATATCTACCACGTAGTTGTTCGGTCCATGGCGATGGGGTTTCGTTGAAGCCTTTAGTTATCAAACCTGTGACCGAAACCATGCACGGCTCACTATCTGTCTCGCCACGTTCATCCCAGTCTTGCCAGTCCACTCCACGTCTCGGATCTCAATCATCTTTCATTGTCGCCCAGAGACCTGGTCATACTCAATCTTTATGTACCGACAGAAGATCGTACGCTGAATCGTACCGTTCCCTGGACCAGGCAAGCAACTCTTCTTGTACGTCCAGCCGAAGTGCCTCGTTTGGATCCAGCGGATTACTGCGCGCCTGTCGCGCTCCCTCTACTTCGACTGACCTCGTCACTCCTGCCACGGATGCAAGTTCATCTGTTGACTCAGTGTCTAACTCCGTCAACTCCAGCCTTGATGGTCTGCACAGACCGCAGGCCTCCACGCTGCAGCCTGAGTTCGATATTCTACAGCCGGGCAGAAGCAAAGTCGGCACGTTACCGGACGGCGCGCAACCTACAACCAGGTTTCCGAAATGATGTTCTTTTTGATAATTTACGATTATATTTTATTATTTCGTCGAATTTGGGCTGCGTTGCAATACTACCTAATTTTACGGCACGGCCGATGAATTTATTGAGGAAATTTGACAGGAGAAGTAACTGTAACAATGATTCTATAGAACGAAGTGTAATAGTAATAAGGTAGTTTCAAATTTTGATCCTGATATGAGAATTTGAAAGCGCGTTTGTGTTTACATTATTGATGTCGCTCGTTCACAGTGCCCCTAAGTTGCTATGGTCCGTGGAGGGTCGGTCGCCTCATCTCGGCGCGAGCTTCGTCCTGCCACCTGAAGGCGATACGATCGAAGTCGCCGCTGAGGCGATGGAGGAACTGAGGCTTGAGGAGGAGGAGGTCCCAAGCACCGCTGCCGCCTTGGCTAGGGCGCTCTATGCGGGGCTTGGCAGCAAGTGAAACGTGACGAATGAGAATGCCATAGGGATACAAAGTTAAATGAAGAAATAAATTTAAAATGAAGTGTGACAGATTTGCTCTAAAAATTAATATATGTTGCAAATATCTAATATAAGCTAAATGAGAAGACTGATGCGAACTAAGAGACTGTGTCGAGATGCCCTGCTACGCATTACCAGATCTTGTCAAGTATTTCTGAGACCATAAAATAGCTGCGAAACGCATATGTTGCAAGAAAGAAGAATACCAGGACTGAACCACAGATACTGTGATGAGATAATAAAGTAACGGCTTGCAAGTGATGGAAACCAACTTCCTTTGCATGCTTAGCTAAGTGATCCCAGGAACAAGTACCACGGCTTGTTTAACATTATATCGTCTGTGGTACTATTAATCATGGCGAACACAATTAGATTCGAGATTTTGAGAAGAGTTTTACCTTCTTGTGCATTGAAAAAATGAACAAGGAGCTCTCTCGTACTGCACATTAACACAAGGTATGGTGTCGGTTTTTTACGTTGATTTTCATACTTGTGAAACACGTACTGTGTAGATCGGCCTCAGCTCAACTGCTTGGGTTGACCTGCCTCAGCTAATGTGTTGAAGGCGCTCTATTGTAGTCTTGACCACACATCTTGTCCTCAACTGGCGCTTCTGGTTAAACTACATTTGTTCTCAAACGAGCCTTGCTTTCAATCTTAATAGTATTTGAATCTCTGCCATTCACTCTATATTTTTTGGCACTTGGATATTTTTCTCTGTCATATCTGACACGCATCACTTTTTCCTTTTTAGCAAAATGTAATCTTGCATCCTACGCGTTTTTCCTCGTTACTTGCAATGTTTTTTCGTGTCGTCTCTTTAATTTATATTGCGCTGCTATTGGCTCTTTGAGAGCATGTATATTCACTATTTATTACCATGAATTTTATTGTCCTCGAGTGTTCGTTTCTTGCCATCGCTTGAACTTCAACTCCGTATCTGTGTGTAAATATTTTCAGTATTGATTTCACTGCAGCTTTTATACGCTCTAGAATTGGGTCCAGTTTTAGTTGAGCATCGTGATACTTATTGCTATTCGATGCCCTGAAACTTTCGTTTACCACGAAATTCTTCGCAGAATTATTAACCCTCTACCACCTGAAATGCGAAATCCCAAAGAAATAATTTTTATCTCATTGCTTTGTGTTATTTGCGATGCGATAACATATCTATGCCATTTATCAAGTTCAATGCATCATAAAAAATATATAACATGTCCCTCTAGGGAACATTCAGTAGTCAATAGTCAATAGGAGTATCAGGCAAGCGGCTAAAATTATATAGTATATTTGTTATGAACAAAATTGCTATAAAATGAGGACGAATAAACTATCAGGAAACGAAAAAATGCACTTTACCAAGATTCAACGCCTTGAACACTTCCGCTCATTTTTTTTTTTTTTTGGAAAGAGAGAGAAATTATGAATATATTTTTCAAGTATATATACTAATTATATATTGACTATAAAACCCATGTAAGTATTTCATGGAATAATAATTAAAAATTTCGGCAAGGTATATTCTAAAAATTATATGCCTGCATTTTCGGGTGAATTTATATCATATTATTTCTCTTAAATGTCATACAATACAATCTCCTGACGGCTGTTCATTCTCAGTGACAGACATAAGTACAGTGGAGTGCCTGGTGTTCTCTCTCATGCAGTGACACAATAAACCTTACAAAACCAATTCATTATAGACTTGGAGAAACCAAAGATATTTAAACATGACCTTGATGAATAAGAACAGCATATAAATAATCACAGCACTGTAGTTCACCATTGCTTTCGTCCATGATCAGTTGAAGATGACAAACCGGAGTAATATTGTCACAAGCCTACTTCCCAAAAATTGATACGTTGCCAGTGAGCGCAAAATAACTGACATTGATGGTTGCTTCTGCGTACAACTTTAAAGATTTTTTCTATAGCCGACAACCGTCCTCGGGTCGCTACAGGGTTAGGCATCAGTGTGAAGTGTGATCAACGCCTGAGCAAACCTCAACACAACCAACTTATATGTACCAACTTTATGCGTCCTGATAGAGTTTCCACTTATATGTACCAACTTTATGCGTCCTGATAGAGTTTCCAAACATTTCTGTCCGAGCGTGAACAGAAGGTGCTTGCAGCAGGTTCAGATTTTATCGAGAAAATTTTTCAGTCAACTTAGTTGAAGAAGCACACATAACAAGGCAAAAGAAACAATCTAAAATTTAATGTTATATTTTACACCATTTTACAATAGATAAATCCTCGGCAGCAATGATCCTCCTGCAAAGGAGAGAAAAGCACATCAGTGTCGTCACTATAAGAATGTGTATGCACCAACACTATTAGAAGCTGCATCAACTAATGAAAGCGATGCAATTTACACAAAGAAACATCTTAAGGTAGACCCTCGCGTCAAGGAGCCGTTTGCTCGAAATTGACTGGACAACTACCTACTCTAGAAAGGCCGGGAATAAATGATAAAAATCTATACAATAACTGTAACCTTGAATATCAATATAAAATAGGGCAGAGGCGTTATTTGACCACCAACACAGCAGTATACCGTTAATGGGCAAACTTGCCGGTGTGTAGCTGGTAAAATAATCAACTGTCAAGCCTTCCTCTCATAACGCATCATATCTGATGGACTTCGTATAATCGCGCCAGACGCCAAAGGTAAAGCGTCAGCGGGTCGGTGACATGTTTGAAACCGTGCATTCATGGAGACAGTTGTGGCTCTCAGTACAGCCAACAGTATGAACAGTCTAAGTAATAACGAGTACGGTAAAAAAAACATTTCCAGATCAAATGTCGTAATAAGATAACCATTTATGGTTTGCATCACGTTGGTCATAAGCTTATCAAGAGCAAGAAAGGTCTACAGACCGCAGCAGTGCTTCGAGTAGCCTGTTTATTTCAACTGAACAAGAAGCAACATCACTCTCGACTAACACGGGTTAGTTTAACTGTTCTTTTATCTTACAGAAAATCTTATGCCCTAGAACGGTATATCGCCGTGTGAATAAATTTGTGATGACCTAGAAGAAGCCATTGATGTTTTTCTATGAAGATTTTACTTCTCAACAAGTACTGCCAATGGCATAAGAAGGTTGGGCGCTACTTTGATGAAGAAACACTATAATAAATATTTCGTATTATAATGCACATATATACATATTTAGCTGAGCAATACTTACTAATGGTTACAGATCGAACTGAATAGTTTGCTTTAATTCAAATTATTTGCATTCAAAGTTGATTTTTAGCAAATTACTGAGTAATGATGGTCTTAAAACTTACACTGTCTTTACTCACAATAAACACATAGCAGAGCAGACTAACGAATGATGCTATTAATCCACAAGACAACAGAACTCACCACTGAAAAGTCTAGTTTGCAGCCGCTGCCTTGGCAGCTGCTCTTTCAGCAGCTTCAGCCTTGGCCTGAGCCTCAGCCTTATCCTGTTCCCTGAGGTAGTTGTAGTCAGAATTTTCATATTTCAAGTTGTAAATGGGCAGGTTCCGTGTTACTACTTTCCATTCTGTGAAGAATAGGCCCAGAGTTGCCAACACCACACCATACCGGGCAATGGATGAAAATCTCCAACCACTGTAACAAGGTAAAACATTCTCCATCATTGTTCCGCCAGCTTGTCAGGTCATTTCCGTAAAAATTTCAAAGTTATTAACAAATTTGTTCATAGAATCTCGTGCACTTGCTCAAACATTTTGCATTGAATCATATTACATAGGTAATTCAGATGCTAGAGATATTCTATTCGGACAATGATGATTAACACAAGTCAAACACTTAGAACAAGTGTTTGATGGCAGCATCTTGGTGAATATCTATTACCAGACACTAACTTCAGCAGCTGAAATTGGGCTTGGAATTGGGACATTGTTAGGAAAAATTCTTTTACAACTAAACATTTGCAGACACACTTAAGGGGAGCATGTTGGTAAAAAAAAACTTTTGTTTAGACAGATCATTATGAAACTTGCCTTTAACTTGGTGTACATATGTAAAATATAAATCTATTTGATTACTTTTATGTTATGGAAATTTTTCAGAAAAAAACCTGAAATTCATAGAAAACAGCAAAAAAATGGGTCCTGGGATTTTCAAGATAAAACATCAGGAGACATAACAGTTTATGCATAAAGACCATATCTAAAGATCATCTGGTCTTTTTAAAATATTTTTTACTTCTGTTTTTTTTTCAATTTTGACCCCTCACCCCTCTTTCCAATATATCATAAAAACAAAATAGAAATTGAAAAAAATGACCAGATGAGCTATAAAGATTTTTCTTACAAATCAAATGGTATATCACTCAATGCTGTAGCTTGAACATCATAGGAGATAGGTTTGCAATCAGAAAATTTCGAGTTGCATCTGAAACTGAAATTTGTAATCATTGAAGGTATAGGTTTCATCAATGCTTCAACGACTGTTGTAAACGAACAAATGAACGCACAAACATGACTTTGGAGTCTTAAAATGCGCAATTCTTAGGCCTTCAAAATGAGCCTAAATCCAGTAAAGTCCACATTTTATATTTTTGACTGACATGCTACCCTTAAAAAAAAAAGTTGTGATATCTTCCTTCACAAACAACAGTATAGTAATGGACCTGTGTTAAGAGGAGCTCAATTTGGGACAAGAGCACATTGCAATCTTTATCCCATGCTGATGTATGGCACATGCTTGTAATTCCTGCTATTTCCATCTTTTTGATTGCAAAGAAAATGAATCTCAGATTTTTGTCACATTGTTGAAACCAAAAAATGCTTTTGTTGACATACTGAGGACACCCTCTAAGAAATCTTAGGTTGCTAGAGAAAATTGTTTTTTCCATTTAAATGATTGGAGTACATGAAGCTAGCACATATATAACTACAATGTACCAATTCAAAATGTTCATAGATAAACTGAATCAGGTCAACATATATCCTTGGAGACTTGCACTTGTTAAATAAATTAAATGCATTGTCAAGGAATTACAAAGTACACATTTCAAACATTAAAATTGGTAATAGATGTGCAGCAGTGGCAACAACCAAATGTTGCTGTGTTCTGCAAATCATACTGAAGAATACATTGTCAGCATCATGACTATAATTCTTGAAAGTTCAATAATTAAAATTCTTACCATCAGCACTGGTACTTCCAGCCACACAAAGAGAGCACAGAAATTATGACGTTAAAACTTCATTAGATTCACTACTAGAGTGGGAATTGGAGGCATGATGTCAGGCATCACATGAGCCATGCAGCAGTCAAAAAATATGTAAATCATTTCTGAACTATATAACATGTATTTAGAAACAAAAAATAATATTTTTTTTCAGTTTTGTAAAAAGATACAAAGGAAACATAAAACTGATTCATGAGTCATGACCAAATTTATTCATACCCTGAATTAATAGTTGACAACATGGCCTCTTGATAAATGATAACTTGTTGTAAACACTTAGGGTAATGGTCAACAAGGTTCCTGCATGTGTCGACGCTAAGTTTTGTCCCTTCTTCCTTGACATCAGGGTTGGCAATGATTAAATCAAAATGATTAAATCATGTGATTAAATCACTTGATTTTTTTATAAAAAAATCATGATTTTTTTTTATTTTTTCGATTTTTTTTTATTTTTTCATAAATTTAAATATATTGAGTGGCAGTCTTTAATTTATATTGAGGTATTGTTATTCATGGTTTAGTATAAATGTACACAGTGTTAGCTTTTCTCATAACTTAAGTCTCGTTTCAAGTTGTATGAGGTTTGTTTGTTTATCGTTCAGTTTATGTTTAGTAGGTATTGGTTTATTGGTCTGAATTAAATGGGAACAGTGCAGTCAGTCACTCAGTCACTACTAGTTGGTGTGTATAGAGGGTAGAGTCTGGTAGATTTATAGGACATAAAACTAGTAGATCTATTGATAGTGCTGTGCACTGTGCTATCAGCTACCTATCTGTTATGTGACTCATCAACGTTTAGGTCTTAGGAGATCTGCATTCCTGAAGTGTTTTTGTATGTTGAAGCCAGTTAAATGGTCAATATTTAGCTCATTACCTTGCCCCATACAAACTTTACAAAGCTAATGAATAGACTTATCAAAAATTGTTTACCCAAAAATCCCTAAGTGGTGAACACTACCTTGGCCTGTTGGCCATTATTGAAGGCAATAAGTGCCCTTATTTGCCATCCATTATGATCCATATACTGTTATTGTTAGTAGGCTAATTGCAACATAAAAGATAACACCTCAAAAATACAAAAAAGTTGAAAAAATCAAAAAAATCAAATAAATCAAAAAAATCATGAAAAAATAAAAAAAATCATTGATTTTTTATTTTTTTGATTTTTTTAAAAAAATCAAAAAAATCGCCAACCCTGCTTGACATACATTTCCAATTCTTTCAAATTATTTGGTTGTATCTTAGTCACCTCTATTTTCAACATGCGCAACAAATTCTCAATTGGATTGAGATTGGGACTTTGATTAGGTCATTCCATAACATTGATGTCATGATGTGAAATTCCTTGAAACACTTCTTTACTATTTTTTATGTTATCTTTGGATCATTATCCTGTTGAAGAATGCATACAGGACCAAGAGAAAAATTTCTGCATCCTGCTTGATGTTACTTTTGATATTATCAAGATATTGTTCTTTTTTTCATGATCCTGCTTTCTTAGTCAGACTTCTTGGTTCCCGAGCAGATAGAGAAACCCCCAAAATAAGATTCTCACCCAATGTTTAACTGTGTGGAATGTGTATTTTCATTATTAGCCTCACTTTTTTCTCTCCAAACATAAGCAACACCTATATGCCCTAATAATTCTTCTTTAGTCTCATCTGTCCACAAAATCTTGGAGAAAAAAGAGATTGGGGAATCGTCATGAGTTTTAGCAAACATCAGATGTGCTTTCACATGCTTTTCTTTTAGCAAAGGGGTTTTCCTGGGTCGAAAACCCTTCAGTCCATTATGATGCAATGTTTGTCTTACTACCTTCATACCAGAAGCATCCAAATTTGACAAAATTTCCTTGCTAGCGATCTTATGATTATTGCAAATGATGCATATTATGTTTCTAGCACATCTAGGGGACATTTTCTCCTTTCTTCCTCAACCAACCAGGTTATCCATCATGATAAAAGATTTGAATTTTTTATAATACATAAAAATACATAGGTAATGTAGATGCAGGAACATCAAACTTATTGGACATTGCTTTATATCCCAGCCTTCTTAGTGCGAATTTTGCACTCCTTATAATTTTCTTTCCGAGATCATTAATAAGCTCTTTTTCCTTTGCCATCTTCAAACTTTTAGCAAAATTTTAGCTTTTCTCTATATTGTGGAAAAAATCATATTATCAGACTTTGATGAGAAAAATATTACCATGCTTAATAACACCAAATTTTGCAATACAATTATTAAGTATCTACTACTATTTTCCTTAATAGTTTTCCTTAAATATTATGATAAATGATCTGGAATAAGAGGATGCAAATAATTATGAACAGCTATTTACTCACAAAATTCATAATAATTTCTGTTGAAACTTATTTTCTAAATATTTTCTAGCATTAAATTTATTGTACATTGTAAAGACAACCTTCCCTAGGTGAATGAGTTGTGAATGATCTTTATTTTTCTTTATAATTGGAATTGATTATATATATTTCTGAAAGGGTGTGAATAATTTCAGGCACAAGTGTAGTATATAGAAAAAAATACAACACACATCTCAGAATGCCAAAATATATTTGATCAACAATAGACGCAATTCCTATGATTCTCTAAGGCATAGTAAAATAAATTGACATTTGTGATGATCTGATGAAGCAGGAAAAATATTCATATTTATTATGGTTAGAGTTCAATTATATTTTTATTCTTCAATTTTCCATCACAAATCTCATTATGTCTCATGATTAAAAAAAATTGCATTGCAGGTCCCATTGATATTGGACATTGTAGGGTAAACGCACCATATTCTGACATCGTGGGTAATTCCGACACTTCTAAACTTTTTCCTTTATATTAAGCTATGTCTCAGTTCCACGCATGTGTAGATGGTTGAAATAGTGACGTCATACTATTGCGCCATTTGCGCGCAATGTTTGGTATTATTGCAGATTAACTACATCCAAAAAAAAGGGTGTTTTTTTTTAATTATATGTTTTTTGGGGTGTAGATTACGAATCTGAAATCCATTTTTGGCGGTCGGCATCGGAAAACCGATTTTTTTCCGACCCAAAAATCGCGCTAAAAATGCCTAACATCTTGAGAGTGGGTAACGTAAGTTACGTAACCCCCATGTTAGTAAGTCGCGAAAAAAATCGGTTTTCCGATGCCGACCGCCAAAAATGGATTTCAGATTCGTAATCTACACCCCAAAAAACATATAATTAAAAAAAACACCCTTTTTTTTGGATGTAGTTAATCTGCAATAATACCCAATGTTTTTGCAAAACACTAGGTCTGGCGGGAAAATGTTAAGATCCTCAGAGCGAAAGTCCACGTCTCCCAGTGAGAACATTGGAACACATGTCAAAGTTGATAGCTGACCTTGCTCTACAACACCATCTGGCTAGTGTGGAAAACACATCCTTTCTGAGCTCAGTGAGCTGTTTTTAGATTTTTAAAGCCAAGAGTTCTGCAATTTTCAAGCCATGTAGTATGTAATTTTTGAGCCATGAATGTTTTTCTTTCAGGCTTTAGAAAACAATTTTTCAGCCAAACTGTGTCAAGCTGCACGCTGCTGCAGCCTGCAGGCACATATTAGGTAGGTATGCCAAATCTCTAATTTTAACCTTGGAATAGAAACAGATTAACAGAATTTACAGAAATCATATTTTTTACTTTGTAAGCAATTTAGCTTGAAGAAATGATGCAGTTAGTTTTATTGCAGTCTGACATGACCAAAAGTATGAAATTATTATGAACAATTACAATTATTATGAACAATTCCCCTTGACTTTTGTTGAGGGACTCCACCCCCCTCCTCCCTTTTAGGATTTGTCGTGAACGCATAAATCAACGTAGAGATGGATCATGGTTCTAGACTCTAGTACCGTTTGATGCGGCAGAAAATAAGCTTTAAAGATGGGCATAAAAACTGGAAAAGCCGAAAGTTTCGATTGTGGACCCAGACGATCTCCTTAAATAAATAGCAAATTTTTTTCGACTTCGACAAAACCGGCTGCCTGACTAAAAAATTTACTACAAATTAGGTGGCAGTGTACACCCAAGTTTAAAAATGTCACATACCTCAAAGAACCAAGATGCAGCTGACCGGATGAAACTTTAGAAAATAAGCCAGGCATATTGTTAATGTTAATTAATTTTCTATTGACGAGCTTCGCTACTAAACCTCCTCTCACAGAGCTGTGCAATCGACTGACGGAAGATGGAATCGGGAACAAGCGTAAAAGTCGGAGTATTTTATTCCTGAGTAATTTTTAAAATAACTACTTTCTATAATCACGCGGCAAAATAAACACAACCTATATGAAGCGCCATGAATGTTTTCATCAGCAATTTTGATGATGCTGAAGAAAAAGAAAATTCCGCTGACAAAATAGAATTTTTCAATAATATATATGACAAGATCTGTGCTAATATTACGTATACGTTGCTAACTTGTATTTAACAGTATTTGAATCACAGTTGCTACTTATTAATGCCAATGAATGGAAGTTCGTGGACAAAAGTGGGAAGTCTGAGTTAACGGATCACTTTGCTAAATTATGAGGGACGACTGAAATAGCCCAGCATTTCCCAATACCAGCATAATTTTTATACTTCACCCCGTGCGCAAGCATGCTGCAGAGCAAATTAGCCAACATGATTACTTGCTGAAAGCCACAGAGACTAAATACCTTCATGGATGTAAACCAGCGAGCCAATGAGCTGCAAGCCGTCAAACAATGGTCGTAACCCACACGCTAAACCCCAAAATATTTCTATTCCATGCAGCCTACGCCTACCCCTTCACCACTTTCGATAAAGAACGCCCTGCGCCACAGAGCTATCGGTACACTGCTACCTCTCCAGCCTGTCCGTTCTTCTGGAGGCTGAACTTTCACGCTTACCCCCTGCTCCCCCTCCTTTTGGTACCAGCTTGCGGAAGAATTCTAACCTAACCTAACCCTTTCGCGGAAAGGTGGAGAGAAGGGGGTAAGTGTGGAGGAAGAAGATGCTGGTGAGCTTTAGGACTGGGCTTACGCCTGCGAAGTGGGTAATGTGATGCGACAGTCCGGTGCGGGGCCGTTCCCATTTACGGCAGTCTGGTGCGGTCTGCGGACCCTGTGGCTCATGGCATTTGTAAGAAGTGATGGTATGGGCTTAAATCATTGGTGTAGGAGCTATTTGGCGTAATCTGTTTGGAGTATCAGCTTGTGGGCTGAGGCATAGCTTGTTTCAAGCTGGTGTGGCGAAATGAGGCAAATAAGAACAGGTAAAAAAGTCACTAGATTGCTTTAATAGCAGATTCACTAGAAATTTAAAAGCGAAGAAAACACCACAAAAATTTAGCATATCTCTTTTGAAAACGTTTCGGAGACCAGCTTCATCGTCAGTTCGATAAATCTAGAACACAGATAAATGCAGAAAATTAGTTTGTAGTTAATAAAAAAAACACACAGAAGTTAGAAACCTAAATTTACAGACAAAGGGCAGAATAATAAAGTAAGTACCTATCTATTCACAATTTCTAATGGATAAGAACTATATGCAGCATTTAAACTAGGCTTCTCTTTAAAAATATACAATGATTCCAAAATACGCAGATCGGAAGCACCAGAACTATAAGCTAAAACCTTAACGTCTGTGTCGGACACTGGAACGTTGCACTGTTCGGCGTGAGTGCGCACAGCCGAATGAGGAGGGCGCGATAGTTACTGCCCAGTCCTATAACTCCTACCTCTATGCTCAGCGACCCGAGTGTAAAAGTTGCGTGCCGTCATTCCGACGTACGCAGATGCACATCGTGCACAACTGAATTTATAAACTTGGGACGATCGCATATGAGAAGGAAGGATATCTTTGTACTTAAAAAACGAACCTATTTTGAAATTATTCACCAGTAAGATACGAAGATTTCGTATCTTACTTACTTAATTTCGTATTTTCAATCTTCGTATCTTACTGGTGAATAATTTCAAAATAGGTTCGTTTTTTAGGTACAAAGATATCCTTCCTCCTCATATGCGATCGTCACTAGTTTATAAATTTAGTTGTGCACGATGTGCATCTGCGTACGTCGGAATGACGGCACGCAACTTTTACACTCGGGTCGCTGAGCATAGAGGTAGGAGTTATAGGACTGGGCAGTTACTATCGCGCCCTCCTCATTCGGCTGTGCGCACTCACGCCGAACAGTGCAACGTTCCAGTGTCCGACACAGACTTTAAGGTTTTAGCTTATAGTTCTGGTGCTTCCGATCTGCGTATTTTGGAATCATTGTATATTTTTAAAGAGAAGCCTTGTTTAAATGCTGCATAAAGTTCTTATCCATTAGAAATTGTGAATAGATAGGTACTTATTTTATTATTCTGCCCTTTGTCTGTAAATTTAGGTTTTTAACTTCTGTGTGTGTTTTTTTATTAACTCCAAACTAATTTTCTGCATTTATCTGTGTTCTAGATTCATTGAACTGACGATGGGGCTGGGGTCTCCGAAACGTTTTCAAAAGAGATATGCTGACTATTTCTATTGCATGTAGAGGGTTGGCATTGGCTCTTGGGCTGATTTAAGAGTCAAATTTTTGGGCTACGGCAGCGCTCCCAATTATGATATGCTGGCAACAATACTAGAAAATAATGAGAGAGCGCTGCCGTAGCCCAAAAATTTGTCTCTTAAAGCAGCCCAAGAGCCAATGCCAACCCTCTACATGCAATAGAAATAGTCAGCAGAGGTGGGCAGTAGCGCGCTACATGTAGCGGCCGCTACTATCGGCCGCTACATTTTCAGTAGCGGTAGCGGTAGCGGCGCTACATTTAAGGCAATGTAGCGGTAGCGCCCGCTACATATTTAAGTAGCGATACGAGGTTTTGCCGCTACAGCGCTACCGCTACATTTATAGATAAAGCCTTTAAATTTTACTAAATAGTATTAAATATTATTTAAAAACCATCATGATACATACATAATATAAATTACCGAATAAAACTGTACGAAAGATTTCGGTGTAATGTTGTCAACCTCAGCCTGCTACTAGTGTCAACATGTTAGTTGTTACCAGTTACCACTTACAGGTGTTTTTTCATGTTTCAGTTTGCTTACAGTTATTTTTACACAGTTATTTTTATGTTTCACCTTCCCTACATGGATGTCTACTTTAATCTACCAATGTCAAAAATAATCCACATATATATACATATAAAAGACTAATTTTTTATATGTATATGTGGATAATTTTTAGATTGGTAGATTAAAGTACACACCATGTAGGGAAGGTAAAACATACAAATAACTAACTTTTATTTACTGTATCTAACCCGTACTAGTTCGGTTAGGTCAATTGCAATAAAGTTACATTGATATGTTTTGAAATTGTTCATTAAATGTTTATGAGTAAATCCCAATATCAGAATAATAAATATTTAGAGATTTCCAATAATTTTGGCCATTGTAGCGGCGCTACATTTTACTGTAGCGGTAGCGGTAGCGCTCGCTACAATCTAGTGGGTGTAGCGGTAGCGGTAGCGCCCGCTACATTTAGAGCATGTAGCGGTAGCGCCGCTACATTTCAAAGTAGCGCTGCCCAGCTCTGATAGTCAGCCTAACACCTATGCAGCTGTTATTACTTGCCTCATCTCGCCACACCAGCTTGAAACAAGCAATGCCTCAGCCCACAAGCTAATACTCCAAACGGATTACGCCCAACAGCTCTTACACCAATGATTTAAGCCCATACCATCACTTCTAATACATGCCGTAAGCCACAGGGTCCGCAGACCGCACCAGACTGCCGTAAATGGGAACGGCCCCGCACCGGATTGTCGCATCACCTTACCCACTTCGCAGGCGTAAGCCCAGTCCTAAAGCTCACCAGCATCTTCTTCCTCCACACTTACCCCCTTCTCTCCACCTTTCCGCAACGGGTTAGGTTAGGTAGGATATGCTTGAAACAGGAGAAAGAATGGGAAACTGGGATAGAATGTGAAAATTCTTCCGCAAGCTGGTACCGAAAGGAGGGGGAGCAGGCGGTAAGCGTGGAAGTTTAGCCTCCAGCAGAACGGACAGACAGGGGAATAGCCTTTAGAACAGTGGTTCCCAAAGTGGGCGATATCGCCCCCCTAGGGGCGATGGAAAGATTTTGGGGGGCGGTAAGGAAGAAGAGGGTGGTAGGGGGGCGATAGGGGGGCGATAGTCCGAAGTCATTGTCAGAAGTTCAAACGTTTGTTTGACGATTTGTACACAACACGTGCAGCATATGACTCCCAGCGATGGTTTTTTTCACCCAGATCTGTCATTTAACCTCTCCTGGGTTTACGTCTCGGACAAATTAACGGCCGGACTCGCGGCCGGTCTCACGGCCAACTTCCAAATTCAATGATCAAGGAATATCTATCAAACTAATGAACTTAACTCGATGAAACTTGGTACACGTATTCATTAGGATCTAACGATGATGTTTTGCTCGTGAAAATTGTTTGAATTTTGCCATCGTTTGTTTTTGCCATCTTTATATGGCTATACGGGCCGAAATTCACAGTGATCAAGTAATTTCTTCCTAACTACTGAGCTCAGATTCAAACGAAATTTTGAATTTGCAGTCCTAACTCCGAACGGTAATGTTTAGCTCGTGAAATTTTTTTCGATTGCGCCTTCGCTAGCGAGTTTTATTTTTTCATTTCACCTTCATTCGTGATTTAAACAGCAATACGTGCTTAAATTCGCAGTAATCAAGAAATTTTTTCCAAACTACTGAACAGATTTGAACGAAATTTAGTATTTAAATACCTAACCTCAGCAACGGTGATGCTTACAATTTTTTCGTTTTGCCATCGTTTGCGAGTTAAACGGCTATATACGTATGAGGCTCAAGATTGGTTAAACCGGCTTGTAGAAAAACCGGCCGTTCCTCCTATATTTGTATAACTCGCGAACGAAAGCAAAATAGAAATGTCACGAGCTAAACATCACCGTTGAGAGGTTGGGTATTTATATACAAAGTTTCGTTGAAATCTGTTCTGTAGTTTAGAAAAAATTTCATGATCGCCGCGAATTTAAGTGATAAATTACCCGGAGATACGGGCCGAATATGAGGAAGTGTGAAATCAAGAATGACGGTGAAATGAAAGAAACTCGCAAACGAAGGTAAAATCGAAAGAACTGTTATAAGCTAAAAAATCATCGTTTGGTAGTGAGGAATGTGTTTTCAAAATTTCGTTCAAATCTGTTCAA